GCTGCAAGGTGCCCCGGGCACTGCGTAAAGGTGCTGCGTAATCTGACATATTAGCAGTGAGTTTCCATACATTATGCAGGGAGATTGAGTAATGAATTCCGAGCAAGCAATGTCACTCAGAACTTCTGAAACGAAAATGCTAATCACAGCTGTAAAGAGCATGAGTGGATTGAGGTTTTTCTTGTATGACTATTTGTAGGCAATTAGTATGAAGTCATGTGGGGAAACTCCTCCTTTTATGTACAGTATGTGCTGGAGAGAAGGTTCATGTTGTCAGCTGGGTTACTACAAGTTCCTAGGAGGAAACATTGATTGGGGGAAATGTGTATTAGCATTTTTTTTTCTTTTTATCAGTAAATGTACCTGTGTGGCTACTCTATGCCCTTTGAGCTGTTGTACGATTTAATTTCACACTGCAGTCACCTAGTAAAACAGAAAGGTCTTTCACCACCTCCCCCCACTCTAGTCCCCATTCATAAATAAATGCATATCACAGATACGGATCACAGAAATCCCTTCCAGATCTCAACTCATCTTCTAGCTTAGCCACGACCTGGAAGAAGAAATTACGCTGAGTGTTTTGAAGTGCAGCACATCCAGGCCTTGCAGGTGGAGGGTGAGAATGCCCACTGCAAACTCCTGCTCTCCCCACTTAAAATCAAGCTGAGTCCCTGTATGACCTCTCCCTCTACCAACAGTCCAGATTAGCAGGGTCCATGAGATAACGAGGTCCCAGATGTACAAGGGCTCTTAAAATCAATGTTGAAATCAATACCATGGTAATTCCCTGTATCACAGTATCAAGTGATGTTCATGTGAAATCCACTTAGTAGTAATTTGCTGCCATCTTGTAGTTGCATTTTTATTTGCATGGTCTAAGCCTTTAGCCCCACGAACAGCATATCAAAGTGTGCCACAGACAGAGATGAGTTGCATGTAGTTGCATTCTTGCAGGTGGTAGGTTGCAAAATGTGATCTTGCCACAGCTGCCAAGATCAACCCAACAGCAGCAATCCAAGATGGAATAATACAATTAACCTACATTCCTGTGTGACAAACAAGTAGGCATGCAGTCGGACAGTTAGAATCGGGAATGCATATCACCTTTTTACCAGTGCGGTGTTTGTCTGCTGGGAGGTAGCACCATTTCAAGCCCCTTGAAATCAAAATCCCCAGATTTAGGTCATGTTTCAGTCATTCATTCCTTCTGTTTAGAAGAGTCACTTAAACACTATTGTTTCCTGTCTGTGGTGGCACAATGGTGGTAATATTTACTCAGTTACTTCATAGTCTTGTTTATGAGGACTTCTGAGTTGTAAGCAATATATCAATATGAAATAGTGTTACTGTATCATTTAAGGTTCTTTTTCCTATGCAGGAATATCTCTGCTAGGACGTAAGAAGGGTCCTTCAATAGGTGTGTTTCTGAAAATACCTATTTAGAAATGTATATCAAAAGGGTCCTCCTTGTTTATCCACCTGTAACTTCTATATTGTCTTTTGAGATTGGGGGAAGGGAGAGAGAATGATGAAATCTGTGGGGCAGGTACCCATCTCCCCAACGGCTGTGCTGTCTGTCTAGATTTTTGCCTGCGTCACCACATTCTGTTGCCTGTCATGCATAGGCAGGGACACTCGGTGCGCAAACCTGCTAGCCAAATGTACTTATCCCCTGGCCAGATGTTGCAGAATTTCAACAATGAGCGTATCTTCAAACAAATGTGTTCAAAGCTCCTCTAAAGTCATTTCAGTTTGCTGAGCTAGCTCTAAGCCTCATTTGGTAGTGATCCAGGGCAGTCACTGACAGAGTTTTTGGAGCATTTTTTCTGTCCTTCTTAGAAAGTGACCTCTGTGACTCACAAGTTCCTAGTCATACTGTCTGCATGAGTTTCAATTCACCTGACTGTGCAGGACTAGACTATAAAGAGTGATTTAGTAGCTTTATTGCATAAGCCTAGAGATAATAATTCAGTCCATATTCCCAAATAAAAAAATGACCACTGCGAGAGAATTGTTTTGCCTTTTCATCAAGGCTTGCAAATGAGGAAAACTGCATTGTTTGCTCTACCAAAGATGCCAGTGAACTCTTAGCAAAACAGTTCAAAGCTGCTGTTCTGGTGTTTCCCAAGTGTGAAATAAGATGGTATTTTATTTTGCTCGTCTTTTGTCTTATTAAATAATAAGCCCTTCAGGGCCAGAATTGTCTGTTGTTTTAGGTAAGCACAGGACTTAACACTCAAGTGATAATTTTGGTTTGGGCTTGTAGTGGCTACTACGATTGAAACAACATTAAAAAGTGTGAACTTTTTTTATGTTCACTAGAGAATAAGCAGATGGATGATTAGATTAAGTGAAGTTATCATTTCCCAAAAATGGACGTGAAGCTTAGAGGATATGGCAAGGTAACTAGAAAATGCATACTGATTTTAGCTACTGTTAAAAAAAAACAAACAAACAACACCTTTGTATGGTCAGTAAATGAATAGAAAACGCCAGCATGACGCTGCATGTACAAAGTCATTGTTCACCCTAATCTTGGATACTGTGCAAGGATCCCCTCTTCTCAAATCCAGAGAAGTAGAAACAGATTGGAGAAGGGCAATAAAGATGATTCCAAAGACATGGAACAGCTTTCTTACAAATAATAATTGAGTTGGCTATGACTTTTCAGTCTTGAAATGACTGAGAGGAAGAAAGATGTAGGTCTAAAATCATGCACAATATGACAAAGATGGATACCAAGCAACTTGTCTCCTCCAGTACAAGTAGGGCACATCAGATGAAGCTAACAGGAGAAATATTCAAAACAAACAGGTTTTTTATGCGCTTGGCAGCAGGCCTGTGGAAGGGCAGCTTCCAATTAGTTGCCAAGGAAGCTGCTGATGCTATGAGTTAAGACCGATCCAATGAGTGAGTGGATGAGTACACAGAAGAAAAAAAAAAAAAAAGAAAAAACCCCAATTGCTACATACCAAAATCACATCTAACTCAGGAAGTTCTCTGAAGTAGAAACAGTAGGAGGTTGAAAGCATACTGGCCTACAACACACCCCTCCCGCTTTCACTCCTCCTTGGGCATTAATTTGAGACAGGATTCGGGACAAGATGGGCCCTTTGGCATAGCCTAATGTGGTTCTGTAGTTACAAAGCATGTCACGTGCTGTAGTCATCCCTACAATACTACCAGCTGTTGAACTGCTATCTCAAAACTCTTAAGTTCCTAAATATATCCCTGATGTCCTTCCAGTTAATACGCATGAAGTATGGGTCTCTCTGGAGTGTGTGCCTGGAAAAACGGTGTTCATCTAGGATTTCTCAGTGGTCTGTAATTGTACATTGTGTAGTTCTGCCCCAAACTTTGTGGTCAGAGTGGTGCCTTGATTGACAGCTTTCTGACAATTCAATGAATGTCACCGATTAAGTCACTTTTAGCTGCTTGACAACAAAGAATTTAGTCAGGATTGAAAGTTTACTTTTCCTCGCATAGGGGCAGTCTCTGTGTGATTCTTTCATACTGTATTACACGGTTGTGTTAGTCTAACCTTCATTAGAATAACTCAATTTATAATACAAGGAACGTGAAAATTACATGTACGTAACCTTTTTTTTTTAAGAATCACTTTAGGAGCTATTTTCTGACATTCAAGGGCTATAATTCTTAACAAGGGTACCCTGCAGTACTATAGATAAATGCTATTTAGTTTTGGTGTCTTACTGCCTTAAATCTGTGCGTCCTCTTTAGAAATGTCTTAATAGAAATCCTGTTTCTATCTGGGAAGCTGAAAGAGCCGAGCAAGCAGACAGAATGTCACCGATGTGCAGAGTTCATTTTGCAGAGTCTCAGTGGTCCAGTTGTGTCCCGTTAACTGCAAGGTTTATCATAAGTGAAAAGCATCAGGCGTCCTGGCTGTCCTTTGCTTCGGGTGTAACGGGGCAGAACGCTGTAGGTGTAGCGCACTTGCATGAGCTTGTCATGGAGCACAGGACTTCTTTTCTTGTTTTCAATGAAAAAAAAATGGTCTCTGATGCCAGTGGGCTTGCATTACTGATGTAACTGCTGGTTGAAGAAGTGCTTATCCAGTAATCGTAGGCTGTGGTTCACCTAGCAGCATGGAACCGCACCATCAATAATTTGGATGAAATAAAATGTATGCTGATTGTAAATTATCCCAACAGGACTGGTTTTTTAGAGACAACGTATACTGGCTTACGAAAGGAGTTGTTGCTGCTGGTACGCTAAAGGAAGGAGCTTTCTTTGACCTCACAGACCAGGACCAAACCAAAGACATTTTGTGGCACTAAGAATTTGAAAAACTTTTGAAAGCTCTTATATACAGAATCGGGATGGCAACCGGAGAGGATTTCAGAATAATATCTGAGTATGACCAAAACACATGCTAAGTGTTTTGGTCTAAGTTACTAAGTTGGGTAAAGTAAAATGATAAATGTTATTTTCATATAAAACGTGAACAATATTTCCCTTTATAAGCCATTTAACCCGGACAACACTTCTGTAATCCCTCAGGCAGGCCTCCCGGCAAAGCCAAGGTCAGGCTGTGAGAGGATGCCCCGGCCACCCCCGGGCTCTGCGGGGCCGCGGTGACGCCACAGGCTCAGGTGCACCCGTTTCGTCATGCGTCATGACGCAACCCCCGGGGGCTGCCGGTGAGCCACGCGGCGGGGGCAGCCCGTGACGCCCATTGCCCCGCTGCACGCGCACGCGAGGGCGGGCGCCCGGCCTTTCCCACCACGGTGTCCCCCCCCGGGGCCTGCGGGACAAGCCTAGAGCCGTTCCGTGGAATCACAGTATTTCGGAAATTTCCCCTCTCTGCTGATCCCCGGGGTATGGGGCTGTGACGAAATTATGCAAAACAAAACCAAACCGACCCCCAAAACCCTACCGACACCCCACGGCCGCCCCGCCGCCATTTTTCCCTGCGCGCCGCCCGCCGCCCCCAGCGGGCGCTGTGGGGCCGCGGCGGAGCCCATAAAAGGCGGCGGCGGCCCCGGCCGCGTGTGTCCGTCTGTCCCGGTGTGTGCAGGTGTGTGTCCGCCCGCGGCATGCTGGCGCTGAGCGCCGCCCGCCGCCTGCTCCGCCCGCCCGCCGACCTGCTGCCGCCGCCGGGGCTCGCCTGCCTGTGGGCGGCCGGTGCTCGCGGTTACTGCGCGGCCGGCGCCGGGCCGCCGAACCCGGTGGTGTACTTGGAGGTGGGCGCCGACAACCAGCCGCTGGGACGCGTCGTGCTGGAGGTAGGGGCTGTCCCCGGGACGGCGGCGGGGGCCGCCGGCAGCTCACCTGGCGCCGGGGCACGGCGCCCCGGGCAGCCGAGGGCGGCGGGGCGCCCGGGCATGGCGGCCGGTGAGCGGCAAGGTCAGGGCGGGCCGGCGGCCGGGGGTGCCTGCCGCGGCGGCCGATGCCGCCTCCCGAGGCCGCGGGGAACGCGCGGCCGCCCCCGCTGTGGGCGTGAGAGGGGCCCGGGGGATGGCGGCCCTCGCTGGGCTGCCGGGGCCGCTGCCCGGGGCGCCCTCGGGGCTCCGCTTCCCGGGCGAGAGGGCGGCGAGGCGCCGCTGTCCCGGGTGGGTGGCTAGCGGGGGTCGGCAGAGGGCTGGAGCGGGGCACTTGCCTTCGGTTCGTCGCGGCAAGGCTCGCCCGTGCCCGCAGCCGGTAACCGGAGTCAGCCCCGCGGGTCGGGCCTCTGGGGCTCGGCGCTGGGGGGCGGCCCCCGAGGCCGGGCCGTGCCGTGGCAGGGGGCCTCCCCCAAGGGAGACTTTAAACCGTAGTGCGAAAGCTGCAACGCTGAACGGGGATGAGCTTGCTCCCGCAGCGTACCGCTGGCTGGAGAGGGGCAAGCGCGGTTCCAGCTGTGGCAAAGCGCCCGAAGCCCAGCACGGCCCGGGGCCCTGCGCTGCCAGTGAAGGGCAGGACCCCCGCCTTGCTGCCCAGGGATTGCCGTTCTCATGGGTCTTCAGCTGCTTTTCCAGTTTCATCCTCTTTTCCAGTGTGGTTTTTTTTTCCTTTTTTTTTTTTTTTTTTTTTTTTCCCCCCTCCTGGCTGCTTATTTGTTTCTTTAAGTTTTCTAAAGTGCCTTGCTTCATGTATGTTGCAAGGTTTGCACAGCTCTGTTTGAACTGGCGGCTAGCTCAACCGCCAGCTAGCAACTGGCTCTTACCATTCACTCTCTTAAATACTTAGCCGTTTAAAGAAGGCCTGAACAGGAAGGCTGCAGTACACTCCGCTCTTACAAAAAGCACGATAAGCGCCGAGACTTCAAATGTGGTATACCACGTATCCTTCGGGCCGGCCACGTGCCTCTGAACAAATGCGTTGCAACAGACGGCTCTGGGCTGGGGGGACTTCGGTCTCCGGTTGTATCCAAACTGGCTTTGATCCTTGGAGTCCAGCGTAAAGAATCTTCTTAGTTATTGCTGCATTATTGTGTTGATCAATGAAATCATTAGACACTGCTCGAGTTGCTTTTCATTAAATGGCCAAAAGTTCTACTGAGGGGACACTTAATTACTAGCCTGGTGCTTGGAAAGCCTTACAGTGTTCTTAGAATTTTGGATGGCATGTGATTTCAGATAGCTCATCACCCTGGGAAGTGTTCAGTTGTACCAGCCTTCCGCGTAGTTTTTCTATGTACCTATAAAAAGGCTGACTTACTAATTTGTTTGTTTATTTTTCTTTAACAGCTGAAAGCTGATGTGGTTCCAAAGACAGCAGGTAAGGTAGCATCTCCAGAATTTCATACTTAAATATTTAAGTTTTAGATTGTGATTTACAGGAATAAGAATATTCTTTTACCTTTTGGAAACTATTTCCATGTTTGGTCCCCATTTGTTACATAGGCAAATATGATACAAACTTTATCAGAAAAGTGCTAGTTGAGGAGTCATAATTTGTTGCTGTTTCAAATAGTTTCATTTTGAAATTTGTGCCAAGACGGTACAGCCTATATGTTTCATTATGAGTGGTGAATAAATACGTTACAAAGTTTTTGTGTTCGATCATGTGCTTCCTTTCTCATCTGTTTATTTAGTGATTCTGAAAAACTTGTATTTTTCTTTCAGTTCCCGGTAGATGAATATCCTAAAAAAAAAAAAAAAAAATCTTCACAATTACTTTAGAGAACAAAGGCACAAGTCAGAAAATTAAACTTTTGGCTCCAGAGTGGTGGGCTTGAGGAGGCAGGGGGTTTAAAATGTTTGGAGTTAAAATGTAACAGCAAAATAAAAGGCAGATGAGATGGAGAAAGATTGTGTTTGTACCCTGTTCTGAAGCTAAACAAGCCTTGTTTCCTTAGCTTTATAACAGAGGTGTTTTAAAGGAAGGAAACAATGAATAAATCAACAATACCTTAAAGATGCTGCAAGTTTTTTGAAGTGTATAAACTTGGGACATAGTTAATCTAGTTGTGTTTGATTATGTTATGTATCATATATAGCAACATAACACTTTCTGCTTTGTTATAGAAAACTTCAGAGCTCTTTGTACTGGTGAAAAAGGTTTTGGGTATAAAGGATCCACTTTTCACAGAGTGATTCCTTCATTTATGTGCCAGGTAATTTTTTTATTTATTCATTTTTGCTATTAAATTTATTTGTATGTTATTTATATCTTTTTAGAAACAGTTAGACTAGTAGTAACATTTTAAGTGTCTCTGCTCTAACCTTGGCTAACTACAGAATATAGAAGTGAGAGTTTGACTTGCATTTCTGATCTTTTTGCTATGGCTGTTCTTTAGCACATCTTTTGTAAAATAAATATATATTATGTGTAGACTATCTTAAAAAAATCTGGCTTAAGGCTTTCTGCTTTTGTATAGCCCTGTACTTTAGTGTGGGACATATTTGGCAAAATGGCAATTGCTTGGGACAAGTGTTTGTGGTTAGAATAACAATCAACCTTGTGTTCTAAGCGAGCTAAGAAAACAACGTGTCCATTCTTTATTCCTAGTAGAATTATCTTTTCACAATAGAGAATGTATTTAAAAAAAAAAATAGTTTTTTCTGAACATGTCCCTAATGTGGAGTGGAGGAGGGAACGAAAGGGTTGGTTGGGGGTCAATTTTTGGTATGACACACCTGAAATGGATTTTGTTTTGATTTAAAGGATGAATCTTTCAAAATTCTGAATTAAAACACATGCATGTTGGCAATTTTTCCTTAAACGTCAGCAGCAGAAACAACAACAAATAAAAAATAAAAAAAACTTTTTTGAAAGCCTTTTTTTTCTGTTGTGCTTGGCAGATGAGCAGTTCAGCTGCTGTAGTGCACTGGATTGTATGGTTCCTGATGGTCCTCTCTTCCATTAAAAGAAGCTGTATTTCAACAACATTGCATCATAGAATAGCTCTGTAAAAAAATTAGAGATATGAAGGTTATAGTAAGCATGCTTTATTTTTTTAACTCTGGTGGTCCCCCTTCCTCGTTCTTCTTTTTTTAAGCTAAAAATACAGCTCTCAGAACAAGAGAGCCTAATCTTATGACCTCTTTAGAAGAGAAAGGGGATGAGTGTGCTGTAAAGGATTTGTTTTCTTGCCTTTGAAATGTAAACTGAGGTTCTGTAATACTGACAAAGTTTGGAAGTCTTTCTGGGGTCAGAAATACAGAAATATAAGAAAAATAGAAATCCTACTCTCAGTTCTACTGCTAATTTGTGGAGTTCTGTGTAAGTTTTCTCCTTGCCTCTCTGTTTTGTCCCCACAAATGGACCCAAAATGTGAGGATACTAGGTGGCTGACTCAGTGGTAAGGAGAGATGATGAATTGATGTTTAGGAATTGCTTGATAGTCATTACCAAACTGGAAATACTGTCATAGGTTTCAGATATTTTAAAGTGAGAGGAAACAGTAGAAGCCTTTCCACTTGTTGAGATGCAGTGTTAATATGATTCAGGCAATTGGTATAGCCTAATTGGAGGTCACCATACCCAGGACTTGGCAATCCAGATGCCTCCCCATGGCATGCAGCATGCAGAGCATACTTTTGGGACCGCGTAGGAGTAGCTGTAACACCACCTGTAATAAATTGCTCAAGATGAACATCACCTGAAATACTTGTTAGGTACGGGTTTGTTGCTGGCGGGGGTGGTGTTGCTGGTGGAGATGAGATGGCAGATGGCTGGGAGCAGTGTTTAGTAGCCACCTTGGGGGTCAGTGTGGCTGGGGTTTATTTGTTGGTTGGGTTTTGTGTGGCTAACCTAAGATAGGTGGTCACATCTGTCCCAGCAAACAGCGTGTAGCTGAGGGAAGCTTAAAATAAGTGAGGTGTGATATTTAAAACAACAAAACCTAGAAAGAGGAAGTAGTAATAATGGAGACCCTGACCAGTGTTTATACCTGTTGGGAGAAAGAAAGAAAGGGAACAAAAAAGAGTTCTCAGACCTTGCCTTTGGTAGTAAATTTGAGTGATTTTGTCTTGAGGCCTTTGAGGTGTTTCTTAAAAGTACTGGTGTTTGTTGCATCACATTTGGGAGCAAGGCTGGTGACACAGAAAAGTAATTGATGGCATTATGGATGTCAGTTGGAGAGTATCAGCAATATCTGGAGCAGAAATTGACTTTTAACTTGATTGTATCTACATCTAGTTACATGGTTTTAAATCCTCATGTGACCACACACATTCTTAACCTGAAGAGCATTTGTCGATTTTTAAATTCTAGCAAGAGAGTATATTTTCAGTACCATCTCTTCTGATGTAAAATAACGCTTGGGTGCTAGTAAATTTAATAACCATTTCTGTTTCAGGGTGGTGACTTCACAAATCATAATGGAACTGGTGGAAAATCCATTTATGGCAGTAGATTTCCAGATGAAAATTTCAAACTTAAGCATGTAGGACCTGGTAAATAACATATTCTTTCTACCTTCTGATGACTGTAACCTATAAGGAAGCATTGTTTATGAAGATATATTTAAAAAAATTAAGGCTGTTTTACATGTGTGAGGTGCTTGGTAGTTACAGCAATATCAAGCAAGTTTAACAGTGTATTTCCCTGACACCTGACTATTTATGTAGACTGCTGTACAAATATGTCAGCCTGTTACAGCTGATAATGTCATTCTTGCTCTTACTATAAAAGGGACTGTGCAAAATAAATTGGCTTTTTTTGTATTTTATTTACGAATTCTACCAAGGTGAAATTACTGCTCTTATTTTTCTCTTTCATAAGTCATAGACATGAATTTTTGCTTAGATGGTTACTGCAGAAGTAAAACAAAGCAAAGCAATGTGGGATTTCTTATTTACTAGATAACACAGGCAAGTCCTTTTAAGCTCAAATTAAATCAAGAAAAAATAAAGGAAAAGCCGTACATAAGAGCATCTGATTGAATTCTATATTCTCTCTTTTTCGGATTATTACTTCCTCATCACAGGAAACTACTGCTGGTCTTGAACCACAGTAGAGGTTACCCGATGTTAATCACATTCGGGACATGTACAACTAATTATATTACCAGCATGCTTGCTGTGGGAAGAAGGGAGGCTGGGCTCAAGGAAATAGTCAAAGACAACAAGTTAGCATTGGAAATCATTTGGAGACAATGTGAGACTGTCACATCTTCTGTCTGTCCTTCTTTAGTCTAAATGTGCAGAGGAAGAATGTTGTCTTCACTGCATAGTTGTTACACCAATCTAATAAGCTGCTGTTGCTGCTGTTCTAGGTGTTCTTTCGATGGCCAATGCAGGACCCAATACAAATGGATCTCAGTTCTTCATTTGCACTGCAAAAACTGACTGGTAGGTTCCCAGCCCAGCATATTAACCTGATGAATTTCTGCCAGGATCAAGAGGGTTTGGGGTTTTCTTAGGGTGTTTTGTTTGTTTGTTGGTTGTTGGTTTTCTGTTTGGTTAGTTTGGGGGCTTTGTTTTTAATTTCCAAATGATTTGACTCACAATAGAAAATAAATTCTTTTGTGCTACTTGAGGGAGGAAGGGCTGTGAGGGTAACAAGACTGCTATCTCTCAATGCTTTTGAGGTCCAGAGCTAAAAGTATTTAATGTCACTTGTAGAGTAGTTGCGCCTTTGTCATAGAGTTGATCAGCAGGTGGGAGCAATGAAGATCTGTGAACATCCCTTCCCTGACATCAGTTTGGTTCAGTCTTTATGTTGTTTTAAGTTAAAACTGCCTTTGTTTATTTGTTTTACAGGCTAGATGGAAAACATGTTGTTTTTGGGCATGTAAAGGAAGGAATGGATGTTGTGAAAAAAATTGAGAGCTTTGGTTCCAAGAGTGGAAAGACCTCCAAAAAGATTGTCATTACTGACTGTGGCCAGCTGTCCTAGCCTTTTGCCCTACCATTCAGGACAACTTTGATGCTGTGAAAAATGAATCATAAAAAAAGCCCAAACATTTCTGATCCCATGAGTAGCACCTATGGAACCATATTTTCTATTTAACTTTTACACTTATATAGAATAATATTGATGAAAGCATAAAGCGGTAACTGAAACATGTTTTAACTGAGCTACCTTGGTAGTCACACTGATTTGGTAGAGTCCCATTGTGTTTTTAAAGTAGCAGCATGGTCATGCAAAGCATATCTGACGCGAGTGTTGGTACTGTTCTTAGTATTTGGATGTTTCAGGTGTTGGAATCGGTGGTGGAGTTGATAACTAAGTGTTCCATAGTTGGAGGTTAGATATAAATTGAGAAATACCATGTTTCCTCTGGTGCTAATGAACACCTATTGTCTTGCTTGTCTCATCATTTTGAAAAAATAATACTAACCAGTGCTGTCAAGGCTGTTTGCAACACAACTGTCGGACATTTTATTTCTGTGTCTCAATTTAAGTCTATGCAATAGAATTAATGTGTGGTTGGGTTTTTTTTTAATTAATTCTGTTTTAATCTTTTTTTTTTTTTTTTTTCTTGGTAGTCTCAAACCACTGCTTAAAACTACCTTACCTTGCTTCAGTGGAGTGATTTGACACTTGGGCTAAGTGAATTGCTTTAGGTTGAGTTAGCATACCAGTAGAGCTCCACCTGGGCAATGAGACCACAGATCAGCCAAAAGATCATGGGACTTTTCTACTATGCAACTGTGAATTTACTTGAATTGCAGTTCTGCTCTGAGATCTGGTTCTATGAGGACTACAACACAGTACTCAATAGATAGCCTATTTTTGCACTTTGAGAATGTAATCAGACTAGAGTGAGTGAGCTTGCTTGAATGAGAAATAGGTGTGGGGTTTTTTTGTCCTGTTGGTCCTGCATAGTCAACCTACCTTGGGTATTACTTGGGTTATGATTTCTTCTCATATATCATCATCATAAGTCAGAATTGGTCACCATGAAATCACAAAGCCTAATTGGTGCAGCAAAGTCATTAGTGTTGGAGTTGATGCATGAGAAGGAAAGAATTCAGCTGATCAGATAAACACATTTTGTTTATATAAACCAGTATGTCTTATGGGGAGTGCTTGAGCAGTAACAACTGTTGGAACCTCACTTTTAGAATCACTAAAGCTGTAAAATATTAATGCTTGTGGGGAAAAAGCACTTGACTGCTTTTGTGCAATAGAGAAAAGAAAAATGTGATGTCTCTCTTCAAATGTGAATTTACTTCCATTGCATTCTGATAGTATGTGGGTTTAAATCTATTTTATACAGGATTTCTTTTCCATGAAGGGCTGCATTCTTGTGTGCATGAGGTAGTATTCAGAGTGTAATTTTGCAGAAAATGCTATTGAAAAGCTTTTTATTCTTTTTACTATACCTGTTTCATCTTTCTTAGTATTTTTGAAATACTAATTTGTTCTAGTTTGGCTTATGTGAGTTTGATAGAATAATTGATTATATTTTTTTGGTGTTCTCTTAATTTGTATATGCAAAACAATTAAACACAGTTCTACCACAAAAAAAAAAAGTCTGTTCCTTTCTTAAATATGGCTTTACGTGCTTACTTGAAAGCAGGAATGTGAGGAGCTGAAACCTGTTGTGTTCACTCAGGCTGTTCTATTCTGTCCCTTCTGCGATGGGTCTGACCTAGTGGTATTCAGAAGCCCTGCTGCCGTTCGGAGATACAGCCAGCAAGAGGTGTAATGCTGCCATGCTTTGCCTCTCGCTAGTGAATCTGAAATATCTGGTGTATGGGTAGTGGTTCAGGTGTTGTGACTGTTCTTTTGCCTGATTTATTCCATCAGTTTGCAGAGATAGTGGGGAAAGCATGAATTTACTGGATGTTTTTTTTGAATTTCTGAATTCCATTTGAAATGTTGGTAGTTCCAGCTTTTTGCTGGACAAGTGAGGAAAAACTCTTTCCTTGCTGTGTCAGCAGAGATGAACTTCAGAATTTAGCATCTTCCTGTGTATCAGCGATGTTTGTGGACTGGAAATCCCAGTGCAAGATGCTTTGCCACAAACCAGTCCATTTTCTCAGAACTCTGTTAAGCCTTAAATAAATAATTATATTATGCATATTATAATGATGTATTACATATGACTGTGGCTTTTACATACACATTTATGCCCTAACTTCTGAAATGTAAAAGCCAAAGCTTTCCATCAATGCTCATAGTCTTGACTGGAGGATAAGTACAAAGCCCTGCAGAATCACTGTGGTTAGTTCCTGGTTGCAGTGTCTGGATGGGGCAGCCCTTGGTTTCCAGGCACCAAGTCCCCTGCATACCTTCCTCTGCCAGAAGAAAGTCTTTGCTGCCTGGGTCCTTAGAGCAGTGTAATGTGAGACACGTCAATGTCTTAAAGTTTTGTTCTACAAAGTATCTTCCTCAAAATGGATTTTTCTGGGGTTCTATTCTTCCTGGTTTTGTTTTCTTTTCTACTTCCCCTCCCTCCCCCTTCCCTTTAAAAATAAAAGGCACAGAGCTCTATTCCAGTATGAGTCTTGCACCCTGCAGCATAGCAAGTGTTCCTATACTGAAAATAAACAGTTTGTACTAGGTATACCTGAGCTACATTTAAGAGGTGTTTGTGGCACCACAGGACACCACAGCAAGGGTTGCAGGACCTCGGCACGCTGGATGGCTGGCACTAACCCTCTGTGGTCCTGTGGCTGTCAGCCTTGGGTAGCTTGTCCGCTTCACTATGCGACCCAAAGTCAGCATTGAAGTTCATGGGTAAGTACGCAGAAATCGGCTTTTGCCAGTCCTCCTCTGCTGGGATCTAGTTTTCTACAGGATCCCAAACGCTCGTCTCTCTCCTGTTTATCCCTCATGTATCAGAAACAGTTACTAGGAGAAGAGGGTTCTCCTTTTGCAGCCTCGCTTGATGGTTTTGTCAGCTTCTCAAAATCGTGGGCTACAACAATAAGAGTGAGGGCGGCGCCACCAGTTGTTTGACTTGCGTACTTCAGGATTTTGTACCCTTTCATAGCAAAATGAGGTATGTTATGATCATTCCAAACTCTGTCACACAGCTCTGTCACGTACAGAAAAGGACTTTGACTTTTAAAGTTAATCCACTTCATCTGTGAGATAGGAAACTTCCCAAAATGAGTTTTAAACTACATCTAGATGTTAAATGGATAGGTTTTCCTCACCTTTTGCTGGTAAAAAGCCTTGATCTTAAAGCAATTCAGAACATGGTTCGTTTTAAAGCAGCTGAGTGATCCCTAAGTGTTGTTATTCATCTATATATTAAAAATGTGACAGACTGCCGCCATGCAGCGCGTTGAAGTACAGTGTGCCGTTTCCAATCCCCTGCCCTGCCTCGGGGTTGATTACCTCAGTGCCGCTGCTGCTGGCTGGGCAGGCCCTGCCTCGGGTGTAGCGGAGGATTGGGGCAAATCTTTGCTTTTTGATGTGAGAAATAACATCTTCACCCACCCACACACACACACACACACACCCCCCCCCGCCCCGGGGGGCGGCGGCGGGCGGGGCCGGGGCTCGCGCCTGGGCCGCGAGGTGGCGCCACGCGCCCGCAGCGGGCGCTGAGGGGGAGGAGGGACGGGGGGAAGATGGAGGTCGGCCGCGGAACGGCGCGGGGAGGGGGCGCTGGCGGCCGGCTGGAAGCGCGGCACAGCTCTAGCAGGTCCCGGCAGAGGAGGAAACGTGTTCGCCGCGGTGCTGAGCTGAGCTGAGCTGAGCTGGGCTGGGCTGAGCTGAGGGGCGGCGGGTGCCCTGCCGAGGGTGCTGGCGGGGGGGGGTGGCAGATCCAGGCCCAGGCTGCCTGCGGGGGGAGGCGCGGGCACGCCGCGGGAGGAGCCGGCAGCGTGGCTGCCGCTGGGGGCCTTCCAAATGCAGCACAAGCAAGAAGTAACACCCTCACAGGGCACCCTTAGGTAAAGTGCAAATAAATATGCACAGGGAAAAAAAAAAAAAAAAGAGTTTATATTTCAAAGTTGTTTCAACAAACTCACAAATGTTTTTGTTTAGTCTCATGTTTTAATTATTTGTTCCAGATTTTCTGCTTACATAAATTGCTTTCTTTGGTGCTAGACTGAGGCTGTGTCTGTTTATAAAGTTTAAATGCTTTGAAGTCGAGACATTGGAGGTAGAAAATGCTGTTCTCTTTTGTCATGCTGTATACTCTGCTGGTTGCAGTGTAATGACAATCAGAACCTCAGAGAAGTGAATTACTTACGGTACAAATCATTTTATGTGACAGTTCAAGGACAATCTGGATGTCCTGCTGCTAGCTGAGAATTTGTAGTTGAGCAGACACTTTCTACCCAATTTAGAAGTAACTAGGCTAAAAAGACATTGACCTTCAAGTGACAAACGTTTAGATCTTGAACTGCAGATTTTTTATTGGGTCTGACTCTGTTTAAAGATGACCTATGAGCCTGCTGATCACAGGTGAGTTTTGGCCCAAAATCTTTACGGCTCAAAATCTTCACAGCCCAAAATACCGATTTCTTGCACTATAGAACTGAAAACCGAACCTTCGGCAACAGTTGTCCTGAGCCTTGATGTTCTTTCTCCGGTTACCAGCGCTCTGATTTTTCCAGTACGGCTCTGGATATGCCATCCCCGGGCCGTCCCTGCGGCTGACCGAGCCTGCGTCCTGTGGCAGCCGTGGGTGAACTGCCAGGTCCTGGGCAAGAAAAGAGCGGCAGCACAGTGAAAGCACAAGCACCTCTCCCATGTAACCTCTTTCCCCTTGCACTGGGTGAGGCCCAGGAGCCCCACGTCAGGGCTGTGCTGTGCCGCAGGCTGGCTGAGCCCCTGCCTTGCTCCCCTCCACCTCAGTTTCCATCCTCGTGGCAGGGGACTGCGTACAATTTGCTGTGTGTGAGCAAAACTGCTTTCCCAGCAGTGCCCAGCTTGGTGAGCGCAAACAGAGGCGGATGGAGATTAGCAGCAGCTTTTTCTTCTCCCCAAAATCTCCAAGAGAAGGAGCTTCTGCTCCTGCACAAGGTCACCCGTTGTGCCCTGGCGCGGTGGGCTTGCGGGAGCCATAGGACAGAAAGGCTGCACCTGGGGAAGCAGGTGACTCACTGCTTTGGAAGGGAAATGGGAGCAAAGACATGGCTTTTTCTTTTGTCAGAGCTGAGGCTGAGGGTATCAGGGGCTGGCAAGGGTGTGACATAAGAGCTGGGATGCTGGAGGACCTTCACTGATGGAAGATGAAGGGAGTTGGAGGCAATTGTGCGAGTCAGAAAAGCTCATTGTGGCAGGAGAGGGAGGTGGTTCTGTTACAGGGGATCTGAGTGAGCACAAGCTTCTTTGACTTCAGATGCTGTACCTAAATGGAGAAAGGTTTGAGGGACCTCATTGCAGAAGGCTGTCAGTATCTACTGCCCCTTCTGTCAGTGGTGAAGGAGGTGTCCTGGAACATAACTGAAAGTAAAATGTTGCTGGTGTTTTTGGCTTGAGTTCGGTGCAGCAATACCCGAGGTTAATGCTGACTCCAAATTGCTCATTATTTATTAGCTGCTTAAGTGAACAAAACTCTAAAATTCGGTCATCGTTGGGATTGATGAAGTTTGAGAAAAATGGAGGAAAACTTACTCAGCAGCAGTCTTCACCATCTCTCAAGAATTCAGCAAAATGTTCAGGTCCAAAAGGCCCCGGAAAAGAGCTGCGTAAATGAGCAGGTAACCGGACTTCGAACTCTAAAATTGCTGCTCCGATCTAACTGTCCCCAGGGAGGGGACAATTCTTCACCTGGTTTGATAGTATGTTATGCACTCTGCTTGACGTTAGCCCGAGTTCACTATGCATATATACTTGAGGACTAAAATACAGGTTATAGCTCGTGTGTGTCAGCGTACTTCCAACCAAACAGCAGCCCTTGCTGTGAGTGCTTCAACGTGTGTGTGTTTCAGCAGAGCACCTGCTTAACCGCAGAGCTCTGAGAGGGTTTCTCCAGTCATCCTCCCCCCCACCCTCTCCAAATGCGGTCTCTGCAGCTGCCAGAAAGTGGGTGTAGGGTGAGGGACAGGCACAGCAACCGCCCTGTGCTGCCGCTCCTCAGGGACCCCCAGAGGCAGGGCATTGCTGAGGTCCACCCCAGCACATGCCGGCAAGAAAACCATCCCTTGCCAGGCAGGAGGGAGTAATGGCTTCATAGCATTTATTATTTATCAGGAAGCTGCATTTCTTTTCACATCCATATCCCAGACCTGGAGGTCTGAGGTCGGCCGGTCCGGCCACGTGGGCTGGGGTGCAGGGCTGGACCGGGGGTGCTGGTGCGGCTCTGTCCTCCTCTGACAGGTCACTATTTTTTAACCACCCTTGAGAAACGTTGGTGTGAATTCCTGGTTCTTTTGACCAGCCAGGACAAAAACCACATAACTGGGGAAAATAACTGACTGTGTCTTTAAGATGGGGTCAGGGAGAAGTTAAAAATGTGCAGATACAGAGGTTGGGGGGAAAAAACTCTGTCACTGTTCTCATTTTCACTCACCTCCTACTTAAAATTCATCCAGGAAGGTAGGCAGAGGAACACAACAGCTGCTAA